ATATTGGCCTCTGGTCATGAGCTGTCCCACTACTCCTTAGATTTGTAATACTGAATTGGACTGTTGATTCAGTCCCCTCATTCTCAATCCTGTTCCTGGGTCTAAGTTAATCTTCCCCAAACTCCTGCCACCTTTTTCTTTCTTCTTTTCTTTTCTGGTACGATCACAGCTCACTACAGCCTCAACCTCCCAGGTTCAAGCAATCCTCCTTCCCACCTCACCCTCCCAAGTGGCTGGGACCACAGGTGTGTACTATCACACCTGTGGGCGGCCAGCCACCCAGGTGCCATGGCAAGAGACTGAGGGCACAAGCTGTTCCAGTATAATAAAGAAAATATATAGAATAAGAATAGTTACACTAGAAATAGATTATAGATATGATTATATATGAATATCATTAATCATTAGTTTGTAGCATTACTCTTTATTCCAATATTATGATAATCTTTGTTCTACAATTATAACCTAGGAAAAACCAGGCCATACAGAGATAGGAGCTGAAGGGACACGGTGAGAAAGTGACCAGAAGACAAGAGAATAAGCCCTCTGTCACACCTGGACAAAGCCACTAGAGCGCTCCCTGGTCTAGCAGTAATGCCAGCGCCTGGGAAGGCACCTGTTACCTAGCGGTCCTTGGTCTAGTGATAGCGTCAGTGCCTGGGGAAGGCACCAGTTACTCAGCAGACTGGGAAAGGGACTCTCCCTTTCCCCGAGGGAGTTAGAGAAGACTCTGCTCCACCACCTCTTGTGGAAGGCCTGACATCAGTCAGGCCTGCCCACAGCCATCCGGAGGACTGACTATCTCCCTGTGATGCTGTGCTTCAGTGGTCATGCTCCTGGTCTGCTTTCATATTCCACTCTGTACACCTGGCTCCACCTTCTAGATAGCAGTAGCAGAATTAGTGAAAGTACTAAAGTCTTTGAAATGTATAGAAGAAATAATGGCACAAGCTGTCCTCTCTGTCTCGCCGCCTCGGCTGCCAAACAGGGAAGGGCCCCCTGTCCGGTGGACACATGACTCATGTGACCTTACCTATCATTGGACATGGCCCACACTCCTTACCCTGCCCTCTTGTCTTGTATCCCATAAATAACAGCGCAGCCAGGCATCCAGGGCCACTACCAGTCTCTGCGCCTTGGTGGTAGTGGTCCCCCAGACCCAGCTGTCTTTTCTTCTATCTCTTTGTCTTGTGTCTTTATTTCTACGCTCTCTCGTCTCCACACATGAGGAGAAAAACCCCACAGAGCGTTAGCCACCACGCCTGGCCTCTTTTTCTAATTCAGATTTTCTGGCCACTCTCACTTCTTTGCAGAAATTCCCATTACAGTTTTTGGCCCATGAGTATATTATTTATGGTAGGGAAAACCCAAAGACATAAAATAACTGCACATACCGCCTCCCAATTAATAACATGCCTCTTGTAACTTGCCTTAATCGAGCTTATTTGTTCTTGTTTTTGAGACAGAGTATCACTCTGTCGCCCAGGCTGGAGTGCAATGGCACAATCATGGCTCACTGTAGCCTCAACTTCCTGGGGTCAGGTGATTCTCCCACCTCAGCCACCCGAGTAGCTGGGACCACAGTCTTGTGCCACCACTCCCAGCTAAGAGCCTTTTGTTAATCAGAACTTCTCCCCACCACATTCCACCACATCTTCATCCTTTACTTTCCTTGCTTTTTAAAGTTGAATTTCTTTCTTTCTTTCTTTCTTTCTTTTTTTTTTTTTTTGGAGACAGTTTCTTTCACCCAGGCTGGAGTGAAGTGGCATGATCTCAGCTCACTGCAACCTCCTAGCCCTGGGTTCAGGCAATTCTCCTGCCTCAGCCTCCTGAGTAGGTAGACTTATAGGCACCTACCTACTCAGGAGGCCACCGCCTAGCTAATTTTTGTATTTTTAGTAGAAACGGGGTTTCACCATGTTGGCCAGGCTGGTCTCGAAATCCTGACCTCAGGTGATCCATTCGCTGCGGCCTCCCAAAGTACTGGGATTACAGGCGTGAGCCACTGGCCCAGCTGGGTTGAATTTATTTCTGATTTGCCTTCCTAATTAATACCCATTAAAGCTAGATGCTGTTATTTGAAAAATGGTCTTTTTAGCAATAATCAGAAGCTAAAAATTAAATACAATATTGCCTTTGGAAGAGGTCAATGATACAGAATAAAAATTTTAAATATATATTTAATTTTATGTAACTAAAATATTATCTAGTTTACAAATATTTCATATTTATATTCCAAATGTTACTGTATTGAATCTTTATGAATTCTAGACAGCATGGTATAATAATGTTTCAAAACATTATGATAACTATTCATGATGTAGATTTTTCCTCTGCATCCACAATCCAAGCTTACCAGTCCTAGCTCTTGTCTCACTAGGACCCAGTCCTGTACTAAAACAAATCTGAAATCTGATAAATTAATGAGAAATATTATCAGCACATTAGCCTTTTAATAAACGTCATCAATATCTTTACCTGAAGAAATAGTTGGACTGGGTGCAGTGGCTCACACCTGTAGCCCCAGCACTTTGGGAGGCCAAGGCAGGCGGATCACTTGAGGTCAGGAGTTTGAGACCAGCTTGGCCAACATGGTGAAACCTTGTCTCTACAAAAAATACAAAAATTAGCCGGGCGTGGTGGTGGGCACCTGTAGTCCCAGCTACTCGGGAGGCTGAAGCAGAAGAATTACTTGAATCCAGGAGGCAGAGGTTGCAGTGAGCCAAGATCACACCACTGCACTCCAGGCTGGGCAACAGAGTGAGATTCCATCTTAAAAAAGAAAAGAAATAGTTAAGTGGTCCATTGGTTAATAGATATTGATGGAGCAAACATGATGTTCTTGTTCCAATCCGTCATGATTCTTACAATCTAGATGGGGTTGGCAAACTTTTTCTGTAAAAGGCCAGATAGTAAATATTTTATGCTTTGTGGACCATATAGGGTCTCCGTTGGATTTTTTTTTTTAATAGCATCATTTTAAAATGTTAAAACTGTTCTTACTTCCCAGACTGGATAAATGCTATATGAAATGTGAGAAGGGCAAATGAGTACCATAGTCACTAAGGGCTTTGATGACCATTGACAAATGATAAGTAAATAAATGTTTGTATAGCAAGCTAAGCATTGCAATCGGTGGGAAAGGACAAGCATCATATGGGGACCAGGAAGTAGCCAAGCTTGGTCGGAATTCATTGCTTCCTGTGAGAAAATATAAAGCTGGAAAGGATGGTGGAGAGCCCCTGTCATTGAGGAGTTAATATCCTAGAAGGGGGATGCCATATATATATAAAATATATACACACAAATGAACAAATATGGCCAAGTGGTGGCTCACTTTGGGAGGCTGAGGTGGGAGGATCACTTGAGCCCAGGAGTTCAAGGCCAACTTGGGTAATAGAGTGAGCCCTCATCTCTACAAAAAAAAAAATTTAATTAGCCAGACATGTGGGCACATGCCTGTAGTGCCAGCTACTCAGGAAGATGAGGTGGGAGGATGGCTTGAACGTGGGAGGTTGAGGCTGCAGTGGCCCAAGATCGTGCCACTGCACTCCAGCCTGGGTGACAGGGTGAGACTCTGTCTCAAAACAAACAATGACAACAGAAAAAAAACTATACGAGCTTCAGTTAGAAAATATAGGCCAGGTGCAGTGGCAGTGGCTGGCAGATCACTTCAGGCCAGGAGTTTGAGACCAGCCTGGCCAACATGGTGAAACCCCATCTCTACTAAAAATACAAAAATTAGCCAGGTGTGGTGGTGGGCACCTGTAATCCCAGCTACTCCAGAGGCTGAGGAAGAAGAATCGCTTGAAGCTGGGAGGCAGAGGTTGCAGTGGGCCAAGATCGTGCCACTGCACTCTAGTCTGGCTGACAGAGCAAGACTCTGTCTCAAAAAAAATAAAAAGAGTTAGAAAATATAAAATGCTTAGCCTGGCCAACGTGGTAAAACCCCATCTCTACCAAAAAATACAAAAATTAGCCTGGCTTAGTGGTGGGTGCCTGTAGCCCTAGCTACTCAGGAGGCTGAGGTAGGAGAATTGCTTGTACCTGGGAGGTGGAGGTTGTAGTGAGCTGAGACTGTGCCACTGCACTCCAGCCTGGGCAACAAGAGTGAGACTCCGTCTCAAAAAAAAAAAAAAAAAAATCCAGCTAGCAAATAAATAAATACGTAAATCCAGGTGGCCTATGTTGACAGGTCCATCCTCCTGCCACAAACTATA